TTTTTCTTTATTTCTGTATTTTTCGTATTTCTTTCAAAAGAGTAACTCTCGTAGGTACTTTAAGTTATTATGTAAAAAATATAAACTTTAACAATTTATTTCGCTTCCGCACTTGATTTATAATTTATTCCATTTAGTATTTCTAGAGTTGTTATAATAATATTCTCTTTAAAGATGGCTAAGTATAAAAAACTCATGTTGATTTAGAAAAAAAATTTGTGATTACAAATTATTATAACCTCTTGTGCAAATGATGTAAAATGACTGGATTGGAGGGTTGAGAATATCGCAAAGGATAAAAAACTTTTTTAGTGATGTTTCGTAACTTGAATTCCCAGAGCTTTAAATATCAAAACCCATTATTTAGCTAAAATGAGCTAGCAAAAAAATGACTATAAAGGTCAAGTTGATGCAAATGTATTAAACATGGTTATTTTTTAATCCATTACGCTTTTCATCAAATAGAAAAGGCTAGCTATGATTATTATTATTATTTTTTTTTTAAGAAGAATTGGATTATTATTATTATTATTAACTAAATATATAATGTTATTTATGAGATAAATATTTAATTATTAAATACTAAAGAATAAATGGATTTTTTGTTTTTTTAAGGTGAAAGTTGGTTTAATTTTTGTTTTCTTGTGAGAATTACTTTGATCCGGCTGTCTTGTTTCTGTATTTGTCTCTATAGGGTAAATAAATTAATAATGGTAGTTGCATCTTTACGTCATTAGGAAATCAATTTACCAGCTGAACCAAAGGTTTCTTTTATGTAAGTATATCCTATTTAGGTAAGATTAGGTGAATACTTATTTTAAATTCACTTCTACTTTGATGTTCATATTGGGTGGATACTTATTTTAAATTCATACAAATGTATTTAGAAAACGTGTTTGTGAATTTAATGATGAAACGAAGAATTTAAATTTTGACATTTCAAAATTAATATTAAAATTATCTTAAAAGGTTGTAATTAAAATTCTATTTAAAAAATAATGAAAATGAGATTAAAAAACATTTAACATGAAACTTACAAGATACTCAAATTACATGTGGGAAAGCGTAGCAAAATCCTCGGTCCTTAAATTACACAAACAATAAATTAGATTTGGCATCTCGAGGTTATTAAACAATCCAACGGTTATTAATCTTTCCCAAAAATAGAAATCCAATCAAACGGTTCTTAATTTGTTAGCAGTAACAAACTGGCAGTAGCCGTTAATGTCTCTCAAGAGTTTTTTAGTGGGTGGGGCCAACCACAATGGGCTGGCAATCATGTGCCACTTTCTCATCATCTGACCGTTGCTCCACCATACTATTTTACTAATACTTCCGTATTCTTTATGTAATTTTTCATATTTTACTTACTATTTCTGCAATTTAATATTAATAAAAATTATTTCTTGTACAATACAATATACAATAATTTTATTTTTACTCGAAAAATTAAAAATTAAATATTTATATTACTCAAGTAATAAATATTTAAATAAAAAATTAATGTTCACAGTTAATATTATAAACTCACGCGGCAAAAGATGGTTAAAAAGATAAGGTGAGTTCGAATTTAGATTCTATGGTGTGAACGGGCTACCGATTCAGGTTGTCACTTGTCACTCTCTTTAATATTTATATAATTGTTTTTGTCTGTCATGCATACTGGTAGATTTCTGAATGGTGACCGGTGACCGACAATACTGGAACAAAAAGGGCAAAAAGAAGAGGAGGAGCTACGAATTTCCTGGTTATAGGAGGAGTTCAGACCCGGCCAAACACCTCCTCACTGTTATACTCAAAATACAACTAAGCTGGGAGCAGTAGTACTACTTGCCATTGCAATTTACAACACAAAACAGCACATAAAGCAGAAGCAGAGCCTCTGGTTTCTTCTTTAGTTTTCCTTTCTAATCTGATAATGTAAAACCCAGAAAAAGAAAGTAAAGGGTAACCAAAAAAACCTGGCTCTGAACTTCTGAGACACCTCCCAAAAGATTAGCGTTCTGCAAAAGGATGGCTTTGTGTAGGATTTTTGCTTTCTTCCTTATCAACATTTGCTTGTTCTCCGGACTTTCTCTAGCTGGGGATCCCTTTGTTTTCTTTGATTTTGAGGTTTCCTACATTACTGCTTCTCCTCTTGGAGAGCCTCAGCAGGTATGTTCATCTTTAGATCTCTTTTTCTGCTTCTTTTTTCCACTATCCGTTTGTTATTACTATTTTGAATGGTTTTTTTGTTTGTGGGTGTGCATGCTCATGGATGGTTAATGAGTTACCTGAAAAGTTTGAAAATTTTTGGTCTTGAGCTTCAGATCTGCAAAATGTGAACCTTTTTTTTCATCTTCCTTCGTTGTGTTTGGGTATTTCTTTTGCACTGTAACGGGAAGAGTTAGGCTCTCATTTCTTCATTGTTTGACAGGTTATTGCTGTTAATGGGAAGTTTCCTGGTCCTACCATTAATGTCACTACTAATAACAACGTCGTTGTCAATGTCCGAAACAAATTAGACGAGAGTCTTCTTATGCATTGGTAGGACTTCACTGTATAACTTCGTGAATATAACGAAATCATGTTTTTTTTTTCTTTTCTAATGTTAGTGAACTGTGTTTGTGGAATTTTCTGGGTTTGATAGGTCGGGGATTCAACAAAGGCGTAGTTCATGGCAAGATGGAGTTCCTGGGACCAATTGTCCAATTCCTCCAAAGTGGAACTGGACTTACCAATTTCAGGTCAAGGACCAGGTTGGGAGTTTCTTCTACTTCCCATCTCTCCATTTCCAGAGAGCGTCTGGTGGATTTGGCGGTTTTATCATAAATAACCGGCCTATTATTCCAATTCCCTTTGCAACCCCTGATGGGGACATTACAATTTTGATTGGTGATTGGTACAAAAGGAACCATACGGTTAGTTTTTGTTGAATTTTTTAAATTGTTGTTGTAAGTTTTGGTCTGAGGTTCGAATTTGATGTGTTAATTCCCCATTATTTGTCTTGTTATTTAGGCTTTGAGAAAGGCCCTTGACGATGGGAAAGATTTAGGGATGCCTGACGGGGTTCTCATTAATGGCAAAGGGCCATACCAATATAACTCCACTCTTGTTCCTGATGGCATTGATTTTGAAACAATTACAGTCCACCCAGGTGATTCTTATGCCTGCGACTATCAAACCATGTTTTTCTATTAGGATTGTGTTCTTATTATGAAGTGGTGGATTAGTCTTATTATTGGTCATGTATTGCAAGGGTGTTTTGGAGATTCAAGCTTTTTTAATTTTGCTAGGCTAAAATTAGTCTTGTTGGTTTTCATTTGCCTATAAAACCAGCTAAACTGGAACATAACGTTCTTTAATGTCTGTACTATCTCCAAATTATGGTCCTTTTCTGAAATTATTAGATTCCTTTCCTAATATGAGATAATCATGATTGGATTTGAAGGAGTGATTATATTTGTCCTTTTATGTAGAACTTTCAAACAAAAATCTGGCCTTGCATGCATTACCTTCCAGATAAAGTTGAAAAGGAATTCCATATCCGAATGTTTTTTGTTTTTGTTTTTTCTGTTTAAACAAAGGTAAAAAGGAAAACAGTCTTTCTTTTTGCTGATTTACAAAGCAATATTGTTTAGTTTGCTGAATGTTTACTGATGATATCTATAGTTTAATATGTTGCCTTAAACCATGTGAACTTTAATGTCGTTATTATAAATGTTGACATGCTATTGAAACTAAAACTCTTGAAATAACGAGCATTGGTTGCAATTTCTCATGAAGTATTGTTGGTTGATGCACCAAGTGTTTATTAGCCACATCTATAGTACGATGTGTTGCCTTAAATATGTGAATTTCCTTAATGTTGTTATTACATTTGTCGTGCTGTGTGAACTTACCACTCTTGGGATGATGATATATTTGCTGGTACAGGGAAAACTTATCGGCTCCGGGTGCACAATGTTGGTATCTCTACTAGTCTGAATTTCAGGATCCAGGGCCACAATTTACTTCTTGCAGAAACAGAGGGATCATATACTGTGCAGCAGAATTATACTAGTTTAGATATACACGTAGGACAGTCTTATTCTTTTTTGCTAACCACGGATCAGAATGCAAGTACCGATTACTACATTGTAGCAAGTGCTAGGTTTGTGAACGAAACACAGTGGAAAAGAGTTACTGGTGTTGCCATCTTGCATTACACAAATTCCAAGGGGAAAGCAGCTGGCCCCCTCCCGGACTCTCCAAATGATGAATTTGACAAAACCTTCTCCATGAACCAGGCAAGATCCGTCAGGTTGGTTTCTTTTATTGTTCAAATCTATAAGCACACTGTTTTCTATGTTTTCATCTGATCTCAACTGAAGTGGATAATTGAAATTTGAAAGGGATATTCTCGCTGCGTGCACTCCTGGATGCTTGAGCAATAATTTTATTTTGATTTATGCATTTGTATTCAAAACTTAAGGGACTTGTTAAATTGTACAGATGGAACGTAACTGCAAGTGGTGCTCGTCCGAATCCACAAGGCTCTTTTAGATATGGGTCAATCAATGTCACTGAGGTTTATGTGCTGAGGAACAAACCACCAGTGACAATTAACGGGAAGCGACGTACAACACTTAATGGGATATCATTTGTAACTCCTTCAACCCCAATCAGGCTTGCTGACCAGTTCAAAGTTAAGGGAGTCTATAAGCTTGATTTTCCAGAGAGGCCAATTACAGGACCACCACGGATGGAAACATCAGTTATTAATGGAACATATAGAGGATTTATGGAAGTTGTCCTTCAGAATAATGATACCAAGATGCAGAGCTATCACATGAATGGTTATGCCTTCTTTGTTGTTGGGTAGGAACAAGTTTCTGTCCTTACACAACAATTCTCTATATCGCTGATGATTTCACGTATGGAATCTTAACTCTTTTCTTTAATCTATCTGTTGTAGTATGGATTATGGTGAGTGGACAGAGAATAGCAGAGGGACATACAACAAGTGGGATGGTATTGCCCGGACCACTACACAGGTATGCCCGAATTGTGCATTCTGCTCTTGTGCTTTACTGCTTCCTCTTATGGCATTGATCGACTTATGTTTGATCTTCTAGGCATTGATCCACTTATGTTTGATCTTCTAGGGATTGTGCCAAGTGGGATTGTTTTAATTTGGATATTTTAGTGTGCTATTATTCTTTAGCTGGTGCATGTACTTGCCTGGAACTTGTAACTTGAAATGGGCAAATTATTGATGTTTGCCTGTGGTTTCCTTCTAAATCTGCCTAGGACCTCAGATTGAATTTGATGATGCGACAAGTTTTTGCGATCCTGTAGATAACTTTATTGAACGTTTTTGGTGCTTTCCTATTTCTGTAATTTCTCTTAATGTCTCTCAAGTCACGGGATCTGTCATAAGCGAAAAATTCATCCTGAAATCTGATGAGAATCTTCTGCTATATAAGAAGATCCAATTTGTGAATGCTTTTTTGGTGCTTATAGCTCTGCTCTGCAACTGTGTAAGAGATGGTAGTATGTATGAGATTCTTGTTACAGTTGTCATGGGAGTTGAATATGATTTTCAATGCTTTCTATCTAGGTTTATCCGGGTGCATGGACAGCAATCCTGATATCACTTGACAATGTTGGGGTGTGGAATATCAGAACTGAGAACCTGGATTCATGGTATCTTGGTCAAGAAACATATGTCAGGGTTGTTAATCCAGAGCCTACTAACAAGACTGAGCTGCCCATGCCAGATAATGCACTCTTTTGTGGTGCACTCAGCAAAATGCAAAAGTATGGGACAAAGTTTTATTTTTTCCAAATACTTTTCTTAGTTTACTAAAATCCGACGTCAGAAACAATGACTAACATCTCTTTTTCCTCTTTTCAGGCCACAAGACATCTCTTCTGCTGGAGAAACTGGATCAAGGCTGTTCTTCACAGTGTTAATGATATTCTGTGCTGTGACCTTCCTTCTCCGTTAAGTGGTTTCGTTTCAGTTGTGTCCTCTGTGTGATATTTTATGGGTTTTTGAGTGTGTAATTGTTTGTAGTCTGTCGGGTAATTTTGACATAATTTTTTTGTTCAAATGTCTACCGAGGTTCCTGTTTAATTTATTGGGATCTTTCGATTCTTTTACTACGTAAAATTGTATGTAGTGATCACGACGATTCATGAAATTTTCAATAGAATTTAACAACATCTCATGTCTTTGAATTCTCTGTTCTTTCGCTTCATAACGTATCTGTAAACATTTCATCTCTTGTCTGTAAAGTAAGGAGCTTTGTTGAAGGTAGTAGGTTGACAAGGTGGGAAGAGGGAAGATTTTCGACAACGCAAATGTATTGGAGGGCACGTGGGAGACGCGGGATTTACGCTTGAATATGAGCTGGAGGATGAAATCTGGTCTAGCTGGAAGTCATCTTCCTTGCAATTTGCTTTACATTTGAAATTAATGCGGTTCTCTCCAGCGTTGGCCCCCCTTGCATGGCCTCCCCCAATCATTACATCAAGGGATGGATGGGGTTGAATAAAAAAGTTAGTGGGAAAACTGACTATTAATTACTAGTATTAATTTTAAAACATAGGATAAAAAATTAAAAAATAAAAATAAAAAACTAAAAATAAGCAACCTGACTACTTCATTTGGTGCGTGTAAATATATATGTATACTTATGTTCATCTGCAAAAAAAAAAAAAAAAAAGGTTAATATTGGAAAACAAAATGCTGATAATTAAAATAAAATTAAATGTCTTTAGTATATGTTATTTTGAATGAGAATTGGGAAACAAATATTTGGCCAACCAAACAGATGGTCAGACAATTTGAAATATGTCTCAGAATTTATTTATTGATAATATGGGCTCTTCTTTTGAAGAGCTAGTTTACTTTTGGCTGTGAAAAAGCTGGGAAGGTGTTTCTCATGCAATATATATATATATATATATATATATGTATATATTCATGTAATCAGCATCTCATGCTTGTGGTGGAGAAGAAACATCTTTTACAGCCTTTTTCTATTGATGATGGATAAATAAAGAGGTACAGCAGTCATGTTGATCCTTCTGCATGCAATATTCCGCAATTCGCGTCCTATCATCCATACATTTCACATTATCATCTGTACTCCAACAAAAACTTTGGTTCACATGATCTATGATTCTTACAAGATTTTCGTCTAATACTCTCCTCCACTTGCTGAATTAAGTTTATATACAAAACCCAATTTTGTAAAGACATACACCCTTTTGATAATTTATTCTCCAGGGATGGAACTATCAAAAACTTGACTTAAATGAGGAAAAAAGTTTCTCATTTTTTATTTGTAATTAGTACATGAGTATCTATACATATAAATTAATACAAGATATGTATACTCCATTTTTTTTTTGAAGTATATCACAATTATCACCTAAGTAATCTACTTAACTCCCAAATGGACTAACATAGATTGAAGTTTAACGGTTGGAAATGCAAGTGAAAAAGCCAACAAAAAAAAAAAAAAAAAAAAAACCAAAGAAAAGGAGAAAGAAAATTAAGACAAAAAACCAAATCTTGTTACTAAATTTATCACCTTAAAAACAAATATAGCCAGCTATCAGAGCCAGAAGCTGTCAAACTAAAAATAAAGTAGATACTTATGTACTTTCTTTAATAATCTTAAATATATCAAAAGTAAGATTATACATTGATACAAACTTCTTATAACTTAAAAGTCAAAGAATATAAAACATAAATTTGGATGAAATAGAAAACTTCTCTGTTTGAGAGCAAGATAGTCACCTATTCGATTCTCCTCCTTGGTAATTTTGCTAACAATGCCAAATATCTTTCTTAAAACTTCAAACCTGTGGCTTATAAGTGGTTTGATAAGGATATCAGCCAACTACTCTTCGACCTTGCAATGCTACAAACGAATTTCTTCTTGCTTCTCTCATAAAAATGATATTTAATCTTGATATGTTTGATCTTGCCATAAAATACATGATTCTTAATAATGGTCACAACTGATTAATTGTTATAAAGTATGATTGCAAAGTCATTTTGTTTTTGATCAAGATCATGAATATGTTTATAAGCCAGATGGTTTGATTCACTGCACTTAATTGTGGCCACATATTTTTCTTTGTCGTAGATTGTGCTTATTTTTTATTTCTATGATTTCCAGCTTATCATATCTGATCCAATGTGAATTTCCATCTCCCAAAATTACTGACACCCTCTTCTTTTTTCACTACCTTTGATTAATCAGTTTTTACTGAACTAGCTAAGTATATGACAAATAATACAATACATCAAATTAAAAAAACACAACTTGGTATGTGAATAAAGACTACCATGCCACACATGCCCCTACCACCTAACATTGCAACCCTTATATCCACATAACAAAGCCAAAATCGGCCAACTTACTAGTTATTGGACCTATCTCCTAGATATTTCCTCTATAATGGCCCACGATATCATTATTTAAGAGTTGCTTTCCATTAAAAAAATTTAAGTTCGAGATATAATACTCTTTACTATAGTCTCCACAATTTTATATATAGCTAATAGATCAATCTAATTAGAATTCATCACTCATACTCATATGGAAAACAAACACTTTATTCCCTTATTATCTCATAACACTTCATTAATACTTGTTACCTTTGACTTTTTTCATATCAATGCATAAGTATTAAACATTAAAGTCTTTAACAGTGGAGTTAACCTATTTACAGACCTAGGTGTGACATCCTTTAGTTCTTGACCATGAATTTTTGCCCCATTGATGACAACATCGATATGATTGATATAATACCTACTAAATTTCTCTTACAAATACTTAATCTACTAGACTAGATGAGTCTGCACCAAATCACTTACTTCTATTAATAATATATATTATTATTAAAGATTTTCTCATTTGTTTCTTGCCACACATGACTTATTACTACATTGTATAGAATATAAAAAAATTCCTGCCATGTTATATGGTCCTATAAAACTTTCTTAAAGTGCAAAAAGCTTGGGCAAACCCTTGGGTATTATATTGACAAGTTCCACCAAAATACAATGGAACATAGTATAATCCATGGAACATTTCTTCATGAGCTTCTTGTTTAATATGGGACGAAAATGCATATGTAGCGACTTTTTTAGTTAGAACAAGTTACTTGTATCTTTTAGAAAAATATTTTAAAAAGAGAACTAGATCGCTTACTTTTTTTTTGAAAAATAATAGAATCGCATTGAATAAATAAAAACTCATATATTCATTGTTCTTTTGTAATAAGTACATAAAATATATTTTGATACATCACTAGGGAATTAAAAAACCTTGCAAGTTGTATTACAAATAGATAAAAAAGCTAAAATAACAAACACAAAAGAACCCATGTCTCATCAAGCACTTACAACATTCAATAATCATGAAATTAGCATAGGTGTACACTGTTAGAAAAAATAACACTAGAGCTAGACATATAGAACTCTTCCATTTCAATGAATATGAAATATGGACCCGAGCCCCCTCCAATGAAATTGTGTTTACTCACGGTTCTTTTAAGCATGCAAACAACTCTATACCTACAAGTTCTAAGTTATAAGTTTATCCAACCAGACTCTCTCTTAATCACAAAGACTAAATTCTTTACTAGAATCAGTATTTATCCACCTAGGCAAAAATGTACACAAATGTCCAATATCTACCTATTTTGGTTAAGATTTTGATTTTGGAAAAGATCTTAAATACTTCTTCTTGAATATTAAAATTTTTAAGTGAGAAATATTAAATAATTAATTGAATTGATTATTCTATAAATTTAAATTGATAAGAATTGAAGTAATTAATTATTTACATTCTAATACATCTTTTCATGCATAAACTCACTAGATTAAAAGTGTGAATTGTATATAAGTCGATCAAATCTTTTGCAAAGTTAAATTTTAACATAATTGAAGCTATCGGTACTCGAACAACAAATATGTGTCTTTAGTACTATCTTAACAAATGATTAAACTAACTTCTTAAAAATTTAATTTGATAAAAAAAATAGTCATTCTATTATTCACCAAAAGAACTCGAGCAAAAACAAGTACAAAAAAATCATCTATTCAACCCCGTAGCCATGCCATTGGGAGCGTTAGAAAGTGAAATGAGATATTTGCTTCGGGTTGTTGTAGATAACTTTGGGTCACAAAGAATAAGACCCAAATTTAACAACCTATTTCCCATCGACTAAAGATATCAAGAGCCTTGGCAGTTAGAAGTCGTTATGGGTAAACCACATGCAAGGCTGCCATACTTTGTTTTGTATCTTAATTTTAATGGAAGTTAGAAATTTATGTCATAAAAGTTTAAATTAATATAAAAGAGAATAAAAAATACTCAGAAATATGTACAAATTAGAAAAAAGGAAGAAATTAAAATTCATAAACTTGTTAATTATAGGTTTAGTATTAGAAATTAGATTTCAAATTATTAGAGAGTTAAGTTATGGATCAGAAATCTCAAGATACAAAAGTTACAAAAGTCTTTCGATTAATGATTAAGCAAAAGTAAACATAGATAAATAGAAGTACAAGCTACATAAAATATCAACAATAAAAGGAGCTTCAATACGGCAGAGGTTATGAGTGATTAGGGTTGTTAAACTTTACTAGATCAATTTCTCCCATCATTGAAAACACAATTAATTGAACTGCTTCAGCTATCACTATTTAAAGGCAGAGAAAGACTAGAAACCAACAACTCCCCTTCTTAATTATTTGCATTTTCTAGTAAGGGGAGACACCAACATTAGCAGAAGAAAAGAACCCATCTTTCATCAGAACGTCTTCTCCTTCCTACAAAAAAACCCATCAAGAAAAATGTGAGTGTATACGTATGGTATGTGTGCATATATATATTTTCTACGAATAGAAACAAAACGAAGGACAGTTACATGTGTATATTAAATGAGTAAGCGTGACATTTTTCTGGGTCTGTTTCTCCATAGTTTAAATTCCACAATTAATAGCTTAACCTTCTTATTTGTTAGTCAAACATATATATACATATATATATATATATATAAATGATAAAATATGTAATAGAATAGTGGAGAGAGGGGTGCATTTAGCACCTGTTGGCGCACGTTAGTCTTCTTCACAGGCTGATCAGGCATGAGGCCAAAGTGAATGTGTGGGAAGTGGGCCCACTGACAAAAAGAAGACAAAAAAGGTTCAGTCAAAGGACCCCAATCCAGCAAAACTGTGTAGGATCTAAAAAGAAACATAAATTTTCAAAAAATGAACTTCCTCCCACCTCCCACAAAAAGAAAAAGTTTCTCACTTTGAAACCCTAATTTAGTAAAGAAAGAAAAACCCTAAAGTATTTTCCTTGGATCTTACATTTTTTGCAGCAGCACTGAAGGCTTCCCTGTGGGTTATATCAGGATTCCCAGCCTTGATGCGTTGGATCTCGTCCCTGCAATATGTTGATTAGATTTGGTATTACAACATTTATATATATATGCTACATTCACATCACATCTTTCTTTTCTCCAATTAAACATAAGGATTATTTAGTTACATCATATATTTATAATTTAAAACATATATATATAATATATAAAGCTGTTTAATGCATTTAATGTACATGTGTGCAGTAAAGATGTGAGAGAGTGAAAAAGATAGGGGCCTGAAAAATCATTACTCACTTGATGAAACGATTGTACGCAGAGGGGACTCTCTGTCTCTTCTCCGGAGCTGCACAAATGGACAGATAAACACACCAACACATTAATATCACTTTTGCTTACTTTTACCGGAATTTCTGCTTCTATATTTCTCTACTGTCATTTCATCATCATCATCATCATCATCATCATCATCATCATAATCTTCTAATATCTCTCTTCCTACAGATTTTCCGGGAGATCACACAAGGTTTTCTCTATTCATCCCCCACCAACACTAAACACAAGCATATATACATTGTTTTGGTCGAATATTAGGAAAGTAATATTTTGTAATTTCTCTGCTATATCAATGTTCTTTAAGGGAGGAAGAATCTACGTATTTGCTAAATCTGAGCTGATCAAGAAAAACAAAATGGAGGAGCAAAAAAGAAAAAGACATGAACATACTGCTTCTGTCCTGGTCTTATATGCGGAAGAAACAAAAAGAACGTTGTTTGATTGGTTTGAGAAGTTGGTAAAGGCGAATTAGAGTATACCCAGATGATGACTAGAAAAAGAAAATCAAAGGGGAAAATGCCTTGAATTCTAAATAGTTAATTGAAGGTTATTGCTAAATCAGGGTTTTGTCTGTTTAGAAAGAAGGAAGTTGCATGGAATGTCGTATTCATTTTTTATAAATGGAATTTCTGATGGGTGTAGTTAATCAAAGAATGGTATATATGTACCTTAGATTTTGGATTCTAATTGGTGTATGCAATACAAAAGCAATAATTTTCTTCTCTACCAACCGACCAAATGACCATATACACTGTTCATAGTGACCAAAAAAGCAAGTGGGCTTGTTCATCCAACACTCTTTTGCGAATGGGCGCTGATTCATTACCTACTCTTTTGCTTTTCTTGGGTGCATAAAGAGAATACTGTATGTTATATATGTATATTCCAGAAGATACGGTTTTGAAAAGATCCTTTGATAATCAAGCAGTGCAAAATCTAGTTTGACCAAAAGAATTTATAATTATAGAACTTAATTAGATAGACAGAAACATATGATGGGATTCTAAGGAACTGACGTCGGTTGATGACTGGTGGCCTTGGAAGCTCATCTGCCATTCCTCGGCTTGGTATGGTGAAGTCGTTCATGTTGGTTTGAGTGGTCAAAAAATTTGGATTGGGGGTTTGGATCTCATCCTGCAAAAAGTTTACTTAATTTCATTACAAAAACCATATATATATATATGTTCATTTACAAAAAATCTGTGATTCAACTAGTACTAAGTTGCTTTCTGTGGATTAAGTATTCCAAAGTTTTACAATATACCAGAAGATTATGAGATGGAGAGAAGAAACTATGACCCAGATGAAACTGATTAGCCGGCGGCAAGAGCAGCCGCATGTTCACAGGCAAGAGATTGGTACAGTGGCCACATCTAACAGTCACAGTCTTGAATAAGCTTGTGCAGGGAACACTAACCTAGAAGAAGGAAATTTATTAAAAGCATCAAATAGAGAGAAAAAAAGACAGTTTATACATAAGAAAGATAATGAAGGAAGTAAAGGATAAACCCTAGAAACCCAATCGAGGGATTTAAGGGTATTTAAATATGGAGATTGAAGAAGGTTAAAGGTAATGGAGAGAAATGAAAAGAAATATACCGCGAGGACAGTGTCACAGATGTTGCAATGGACATAGCAGAGTTGCTCCGAAGGAGGGAGGTGGTCCAAAGACGACAATGCAGAGGAGGAGGACATGGACATCGTCTTTGAATTCCCTTTTGAAACTCTTTTAGAATTGATTTGATAATTTCTTTGTGGATTGATTGATTGATTGATGAAATGACAGCTTAACAACCACCTTGGATCTGCTTTTCTTGATTATGTGTTGTGAAACAGAGAAAGGTTTTTTAGAGAGAGAGAGAGGGAGAGAGAGAGTGATGTATAATATTGATCAATAGATATATAATAAGATGGCTAAAGAGGCAAAGTAACCTTCCTGTTCATGGTCTTGTTTAAAGGCCCCATGCATGTATGGTACAGTCTATGATATGTCCGTGTAGAACATCGCTGTAATAATGTATCACATGTGTTGCATACACACCCACTTGCATGCATGCATGTGCCATATACAAGCACCATACATACATAAGCTTGGGTTATAGGAGGACAGCTCTAAAAAATGGAACAAGAATGTAATTTAATTAATTTAGTGTCATGTAATAGAATAATTATGTAATCTAATAATAATAATAATCATTTTTAATTTATTTCAAACATTTTTAAATTACATAACAAAACATATAAACTATGACATCAACCCCAGCTTGAGTATTTCCAAAATTTTGTAGAATTCAAAAATTTTATCTTTTTACTATAACTAGTAGAGTGATAATTTAATGTCGATGATGGAATTTTATTTCATACGAAATTTTCAAATAATGCATCCCCAAATATCATCAAAAGTGATGAAATTAAAAATGAATTGTTTCAATCCGTATGAGATCACCTTTTGTCATCTAATATAATTTTCATAGTTTCTAATTCAATTAAGTAAAATTTTTAATTCATTCTAAAGTAATTTAAATTGTTAAGAAATAACTCAATCTATTAATTATACAATAACACATGCTCCTAAGCGTGCAAAGGCACTAGTTGAACATCATTCTTAATGTTGAAATTAATCAACAAAAAATAAGTTTAAATTTGAGTTCAATACCATGTAAATTAATTATCTTAAAATTTTATACTAATAGGAATTAGAATAATTTATTAGTTATACATTAACACGGCCTAAGAGTTAACTTTATTTAACGATGTGATCGTGATTATTGCAAAGTTAGAAAAAAAGTAATCACATTACTTAGTTGAAATGTAATTATGATTTTGATTACTTGTACGAGAAGAATGATTAAATTATAATTTAATCATATATATATATATATATAAACATATGGATTGCATTCCCAATGTGGAGAGAGAGAGAGAGAGAGAAGCGGCAGATGTGGGAGAGAGGAGATAGAAAGGGACGTGTGCATGGGGGTGACATAGCTTTCACTTCCTCGCTCCTGTTCTTTTCAGTGCTTAAGACACTGTGTTTTCACTTGTTGTGTGGTGGAAGAATTCTTCAAAACCCAATTCTTTTCTATTCTTAATTTTATTTATTTATTTTCTTCCTCAATTTCCGAACCCAAACCCTAGTTTCCCAACTCTCCTCTTTCTAATATCTCCCGGATAAAATCCCCCCCGTCTCCTTAGGGTTAGGGCTATACATGTATCCATCCATAACAGTATCCACCCATCACATGATTTAATATACCTATATATATAGATTGATCATGACAATGCAAACCCATAAGTTAATATACATATGGCGTAGCATTTAATAATTATAAGCCTTTATTAATATTTAATTGTAAGTGAAAGGTTACTTTTGATGATTTGACCACTCAATCTCTCTCGATTCACACACACAAACGCAGACAGGTACTTATTTTTAAAGTGATCAGTATGTGGAAGCCCCAACTCAGTGGCACAGATTTTCCCTTTGTCCTTTTTCAAAATTTCTACCCATTTCTTTTTGGCTTATTTAGCTTATTTGGTTAGAATCTTCCCCATGCTTTTCTCTTCACACCCACATCTCTCTAGGGTTTTTCTTACAAATTTCGTTAACCTACCTATAAACATATATATACATAGATTTGCCAATAATTATTACTAATTCTATCTCCTTCTCTTTCTTCTGCTTTTTCAAAAGGATATCGGTTTACCTAGTTTTAGTCTCTTCAACCACCAATCACCATCTCTACATTCTTAATTTGTTATTATAAAAAAGTACCTTAAATATATATATATATATATATAATGAATTAAAGTTCGTGGGGATGGGTTTTCTTGTCTCTGCATGTGTAACATTAATATTAATTTAATGTAATGTAATGTAATGTAAGAAATTCAGTTGAAAGGCTTGTTGGCCTTTTAACACACCATTCAAATTTTGAATCATAACTATCACCACCATATGTTGAAAAGGAAGTGAGACTGAGAATCTGAGACACACACTTGAATGAGCTCAAACTCATCTACTTTTTAAAAGACGAAAACGACGACGGACCACTTAATTCGACGCCCAACGTAATAGTCAACAATTAGATTTTTATACAAGTACATGAATGCGGAATTGTTTTTTCTTTCAGCAACTTTTTGTATATAATATATATATATATATATATATATATATGTATGTATATTTTTTACCCACTTCTTCCTTGAGCTCTTTTCACTCTCTAAGTTTTTTTTTTTTTGTTTCCTAAAAAAAAAAAGAAAGCTTTGCAAACTTTCCAAATTAATCTACAACTTTTTCCCAAAACAATTTATCATGGCCAGATAACTTTTAATACACGAAGTAGTGAAACAAACTACTCATAAATTTAATTTAAATTTTGAACTTTGAATATTTATTTTTAGTAAATCAAAAATAAAAACACAAAAATATATTGATTACAAGGTATTCCATAAGTTGTGTTATTTATTTATTCTTTTGAAAATGCATATTATGAGCCCACAAAATTCAATTAAACTTATGCAAAACTCCATTTTATTATTAGCTTTTTTATAAAAAAAAAATTAATTCCAATTTAACTTTAATTATTACAATAATATATATATATATACATACATATATCAAACCATAAAATCATAAAAATATCAACAAATGCCTTGGTGTACAAGCTCATGCGTGTAACAACAAATATTTCATATTCATTACTTGAAAACTAGGGCAGGAGGCTCATGCGATCGTGATACAATAATGCCAGATTTCTGAGCTATGTTCAACTATATTTATTAATTTTTGATAATTGATGACATTTAATTTTATATTAGTGATTATTAATTAGTGTTTGGTGTGGATTCCTCGGGTGATGTTTTATTTCAGTAAAATTTACCAAAGAAAAAAAAGATTAAGTCCTTAAGAAATTAAGTACAAAAGAAATAATCAAGATGAAACAGATATATACGTGAAGAGCAAAGTATAGTAAATTTATGTTTTTATGCAATTAGATGATTTAATTTGATGGTTCAAGATTTTCTGTTGTTTTTTTTTATTTCTTTAGAAAATATTAAAAAAACTAAATTTAAAAATTATGTTTTAAAAAATCATCATGATGATTCTTATGTAAAATTATTTAAAAATAATATTTTATAAAAAATTACCAAGAATTGAGAATTTCTTTTTTAAAAAAAGTTTTTGTTTATAGTGATGTGTGACATAACACATCATGTATCCTGACATACAAAGAGGTATCGTAAGTATATGATGTGACATAGTATGCCATGTATTGCAATATGCCAAGAAGTGTTCAAGGGATATGATGTGACATAAATATAAATACTATCATGTTTCAACTGAAAGATTGGATCGAATTGACAAGTTTAATTTGGACTGAATTAGATTATATCCAATAATAATTCGATTCAATTCTCAGTCTATAACATTATGGACTTAAAATACAGGTTCATGATTTAGGTATAAACCGATTACCATTTTTTTAAATTAACAACTATATTAAAAAGTAAATAAAAAAGCTAAAATTTTTAGTCTTCTTACGATATTTTAAACTAAAAAGCATCATGCTCCTCCGTGTATAGTATATTTTGGCTTTCTTCTTCCTATTTCATCAACGAAAGGAGACTTCTGCTATTTTACCTTCAGCTTCTTCTACTCCTAGCATAGAAACTAGCCTCCCAAGGCTCAAACTCTTTTAACTTCAAACACAAATATATATATATATATATAACATTATGTATATATATTCGACTGTGGAGTTTATTCCGCCAGTGTATTTTATATATATATTTTATGTGTATATATTAATAAATATATACATACACGTATAAATATTGAGTGAGAATAATTATGGAGTATATATGTATGTATTTTGTGTATATATATATATTATACACAATAGTGTAAAGTGTGAAGTTAAAAATAATTTTGGTTCACGTCGGTCCTAATAGGATTATATCAAAAAATTTTTAGTATAATCTGGTATAAACCGAAGCCACACTAATCTAAATTTCATATATAGACTTTTATATCATTGTTCGCTCTTAGATATACCTCATGTATTGCAATACACCAAGAAGTACTCAAGATATTTAATGTGACAGAAGTACGTCATATACCAGGACACCAAGATGATCTCCTGGTGTTAACTTTATCATTAGTTGCGGATACAATTTATTTAAACTTATCCATATTATTGGACTATGATCAGATTATGTCGAAATTTTGCTTAATTAAATGAGAATTATTTTAAGGGTCTAGAATTATTTTTTAAAGATGAGAGTGAAAGGAACTCGCATCTCTATAAATTCAATTCTACTCAAATTATTTATAATGACAGTTAATTAATTATTTGTTGTTGATTGCCCTCCATTACTGTTTTCTTAAGATTTAACATTAAGATTGAATCACATTAGTTGTTGATTGAAAAGGATATCAAATTTTCTTTGGTATGAGCTATCTCTTTGTTGATCAATAAATAAGTGAATCTCTATAAAACAATTTATAGGGAAAATTACAAAATTAATTTGTAAATTTAAGCACTTATTACAATTTAGTTCTAAATAATGTTTTTCTACGAGTTAATCCTTGAAATTTTTATTTTGTTTGAAAATACGTATGTTGTGAATGAAAAATGGCAATAATTTAAGCCTAGTGTTTAATTCAATGAGAAAAACTCAATTTTACGAATGGTTTAGGTGAGGGAGGTAATTAAAATGAAGTTGTAGAACATCTAAAAAGGATAGAGGTGCAATTTGAATATAAGGTATGCTTTAATTTTGGAGATAAAATTAAAAATTTGTAAGGATGAGGAGAGAAGAGGAGCATTTGATGGAGTTAATGGGTTTGAGCAAAGACTTAATAGGAATTATAAATGGGGTGAAGAGATG